CGGTCTTTCTCGTAGCAAGAAGGCGCAAGCGTGGCAGATCGTGGTTGCCGGTCGTGTATCGATAATTCCTCGCTCTCAGCCGTCTCTCTCTCTCTCTCTCAGCACTGAGAGCCACCTCGCTCTTCTGGCTCTCTATTCATCTTTCTCTCTGTCTTTGCCCCCTCTGCTAGCTGCGCTCCTCTCTCGAGCTTTTTCTCCATGAGACCCATCTGCCTTGCTATCGACTGTCCGCCTCGTCATCTTTCTTTGCGCGAGAGATGTCAGCGGCACCCTCGTGGCCACGTTGCCACGAGCCACAGCCGTCCCTGGGAGTACCACGCGGACAAACATCAAGCCAGAAACTGCGATACGTCGGCCGGAGTACGGCAGCTCACCCCGGACATCCCCTTACGCGGGAGACGCATGCGTCGCTTTTAAACCAACGCCGAAACCATCCCCCTACCCGGCTATCTTCCTCCCTTGCTGCGAGGCCGAATCCGTTCTCCTTCTCGCTCTCGCGCCTCTCTTTACTGTGTGTAACAGTGCAGCCAACGACTCGCGGGAAATATGATTTGCGATTAATTCCGATGAGCGCGCACAGCACACACCCTTACGGTACTGACTGGAGCCGTTATTGATAACGCGTATCTCTTGGGCGAGAGGAGATCATTCTTCGGATCGGTCCGCGTCGAGAAGACACGCGGTAGATATTGAGAATTCACCGAGCTCTCCTGCCGCGGCTTACGTCGGCCGTACATATACATTTCGAGATGCATAAACTTGCTCGTAACTCGCGTTCCGGTCAAAAGAGGGAAAAAAAGAAGCAAGAGAACGCAAGAGAGAGAGAGAGAGAGAGAGAAAGGATGAGGAAGAAAGGAAGGAGAAGAAAAGAGAGAGAGAGAGAGAGAGAGAGAAAGCGCCTGCCGATCGTCGTAAAATCTGGTCTGGCGCGAATTCGTACATGTACGTACGGCGATCCTGAGGTCGTGAGGGGTGCTGCGCCTGCGTCGGGAATGTCGGCGGCGGGCGAGCGAGCGGCAAGGGGGAAGGGGGTGTCGTTGGGGGGCATGGGGGTGAGTCAGTCAGGCCGCAGCGCGCGTTCAGAAAACTACCCTTAACGCGGAGTCTCATACGCGCTCGTCGGAGTAATTTATAATTGAGTCGCGAGAGTACGCGATAGGAATCCAACGCCGGGTATTTGCCGAATCCCGGGGAGCACTACGCGAAACGTCGACGTGAAACTTATCGGAGACGCAAGCCCGAGCGCGGAGCAAGGGCACTGATTCCTTTCGGCGCGTAACACACGGCATTATTTAGACTCGCCGCCACCTCCTACGGAGGTAGACGGAGACGACGTCGTCGTCGTCGTGGTCGTCGTCGTCGTCGAGGTGCATCGCCTTTGAAAATTCACGTGGGTGCCGGTCGAGCGATATCGAAGCGCACAGGAATGGGAAGGACCGCTGCGGTCGCGAACATTCGCGAGTTTCAAGAATTGGATTAAGCTCGAGGTTGCGTCGGGGTGATTGCTTTTCGAGAGACATCCGGAGAGACAGATAGAGAGAAACAAAGAGAGAGAGAGAGAGAGAGAGAGAGAGAGAGAGAGAGAGAGAAACTGGCAAGGGGTGAAAGACAGAAGCGTGAAAATAGCACGTACGTCAGTATACGTACTGATGCGGCGGCAAACACCGCGGGAAATATATCCTCACCGAGGCCGGACTGTGTGAGAACGTAACGTTGCGTGCAGAGCGGGAGAGGTACGGCCACGGAGCAGGATTCGAAAAAGCCCGTGGTCGCGAGTGCAATGTACCGGGCTGTGTGAAACCACCCGCACAAATACCAGCACGCGAGCCACCACTATTAATCGTGCTCGTGTCTCGTTTCTTTCTCGCGAAACAACTTCTCCACCGCTCCGGACTCACTCCACCCGATCGCTAAACAGTGCCTCGTCGCGTTCGCGCTTCACCCTCTCGGCGAGAGATTCAAGGAAGCTCCGCTCTCGCGCAATTTTATCATAAAATCGCATAGTCTCTTCCACCCGCTCCGACAGCTCTCTCTCTCTCTCTCACGCCATTGTTCCGAGCGGAGAAGGGTCGCGCGCGCGTCACGGGGTTTCTTACTATCAAAAACTGGCTGTTTCACTTGCGGATTTTCCGCGACATTCAAGCTACGTCACTCTCCCCTTGGCAGAGAATCAAAGGGAAAGGGGTTGCAGCTCGAAAGCCGGGAGCGTCAGGCGGAAAATGAAAAGTCTACTTGCTCGGTGGAAGCCACGGGAAAGCAGAGAGGGACAATTACAGCCAGTTACCTGGAGGATGTAACGCGAGCCAGAACCGTGGCCAGCGCCGGGTCCGGGGTCGACATCTCGCGCGGCAAAGCTCGTCGCGGTAGCTTTGTCGTGAGGGCTTACGGTTTGGAGCGTGGTACGCGCGAAAATATGGGATGGTCGTGGAATCACAGGAAGAAAGAGTCGAGATAATCGCAACGAGACTGTGTGCGCTTAAGTATGTGGGGTTTCTGAGAGAGACGACAGAGAGAGAGAGAGAGAGAGAGAGAGAGAGAGAGAGAGAGAGAGAGAGAGAGAGAG